ATAAAGTCATAATCATAACGTTTGATTTATAAATAGCTCTAAAATATTTAAAATATTTTGAAAATGTTATCATACATACCTACATAGAAAACATCAWATAAACTGAAAATTTCAAAAAACTACAATTATATCATTATATGTTTTTACTGTGAATAGGTGCCTACGTTTAATGATTATTGTTTGACAATTATATTATTATTAATTATTATTATTATTATCATCTATATTTTGTATTATTGACGCATTAATTATTCGAAATATTTTTATATGCTACCTATATGTTTTTACTGTGAGTAGGTGTTAATTCGCGTTTAAAAATTTATGTTCAACCATTTTCATGAGGTTGTGAGTAATATTGCGGTCTGGAGATTTTTTTTCCGCAATTCAATCTAAAAACWGTAAAAACGCGAGATCCTAGCGTGTGCTCGATGTGCCACCCCCACCCATTTCCGACGGCTATGTGTGTTATATCTGGCATTTATATAATATTATAATTGAATAATAATAACAATTAATTGTGCTCACCTTTCCCCGCGGATTTTTTTGGACCGGTACGACAGCATTACATTTTTCTTCCATTCTACAAATAAATTGTACATATAACTACAGAAGTAAAAGAAACAAATATATCATAAAATATAAAAACACAGTCACACTGAATACTATGGGCACTGGGCACAGTGCGTAAAAGAAAAATTGTTATTATCAATGTTATCATTCAGTAGCTTGTTTACAATTTACAAAGCGTGTGAGCACGAGTGGCACACGATTATTCGACGCATTATTTGGTTAACACTTGATAAATTTAATAGGTATGACGGTAGTATGCYGGATTTGAATGGAATGACGCATCTGCCCTCCGCCCAGCCAGTGACGAAGTATTTGAGCGTTTCTCGTTGGTCCGACGCCGCCTCAACCACCACAACCACTGACGCAAATCACTCCACCGCTCAAACAGTTTATGAAATTCTACGTCACAGGCATGCGTATCACGAGTTGCCGACAAACCCATTCAATTTTACACGGGTTGATAATGGTTACGCCGAACAGCCACAACGTGGTGAGAGAGAATATGGCGATGGCGACTACGTATTCTGATTGCCGCCCGCARTTGCGCTCTCTCGCTAGTTACTAACTGATGAGTGAATCAGTGATTAAGTGAGGTAAACTCACAGAAAAGGAAATATAAACGATTGTAAATTGTAATTATTAACTGCAGTACTTGGAAGGAACGCGATAAAAATAATTCGTTCAATTTTCAGGAATTTAACGGGAACGTATTCTTTTTTCGTGTGAAAAAAATTAAAGGTATTCCATTAATTTTTTAAAGAACATGTTCTATTTTATTTGTTTTTTTTTTTTGTTCGAATATTTTTAAATATGGAGAATACTGCTGAATCTGTACACTTCGTAACCCGTTAAAAAGCCTACGTATTAAATGTCTCAAACTGCAGTGTGTTGAACTCGTTACTACTGTTACTAGTTGCTTGTTGCTTGTAGTATTTTTTTTTATACATATAGATAGATAATGGTTAATATATATTAAGTAATAATCTTACTCTGATAATCAATTTTTGGTACTTGTTTGTTATCGCCCCGCCAGTACACCGTATAACATTTATCTCCCCGCCATTCTTATTTGTTATCGGCCCGCATATAGTTATCGTGTTTAGCTCATGATAGATGATCT